AAATTTATCAGTTAAGTGAATTTCAGGCTATTTGAAATTCTAATACGTAACAACACATAAACGTAATCACATAAACTTGTAAAAAGATTTGAAATGATTTGTCACATTTGTCATCTAAAAAAGGTTTGTTTGTTGTTGATTTTTGTTGTTGTTGACTGAGCAGTATTCTTTAACAATTGACATTTAATATCTTAAAGAATCATCTCTTGAGGTAAACCTAACAAAGCAGTGTTTTGTTTATCAAAAATTCCATTTCTTTTTACAACTCCATAAGTTGTGTGTTAATTAATACCTTTGACTTGTTGCAATATTTGTTTTCGAGGTTTATATATAGATCACATTTTCAATGGGAAAAGCTACATAAGTTCCGAATAGTGTCCTATATTTTAATGTTTGTTGCCAGACATGGCCTGTTAGTTAAGGCACTCGACTCACAGTCTAAGAGTCGCGGGATTAAATCCCCGTCGCCGAAAAGGCCCGCCCTTTTAGCCATGGGGGCGGTACAATGTGACGGTCAATCCTACTATTCGTTGGTGAAAGAATTGGCGGTGGGTATTTTTGACAAGTCTGAGGACTTTCTCTCTAGTCTATCACTGCTAAATTAGGGACGGCTAGTGCAGAGAGTCCTCGTGTAGCTTTGTACGAAATTCCAAACACACCAAATCAAAGCCATATATAGCCTCCCAGTGGCTCAGCAGCCTGTTTGAAAGCTTATAGTGCTAAAAACTGGGCTTCGATATCCGTGGTGTGCATAGCACAGATAGCGTATTGTGTGTAGCTTTGTGCTTAACAAAAAAAAAAAAAGACAACAAACAAATGCCATATACAGTTTAAAATATTGAAATATTAGTTATGGTTACTAAACGGGAGGTTCTGAAACAACGCAGACAGTTATAGATTAACAGCATTTTCAAGTAACGTTCAACCTTTCATGTCCTGCAATTACAAGTGTTTAGAAAATTAGCGCGAGTTAATCCTACAGCATGTGTAGAATTATTTCGCTCGAGTCGGAAGACTTGAATAATTTCCTCGTCGATACCATGGAACAGATGTTCATATGACATAGGCCACATTATCGTAGATCTGTTTGGGTTGTCACCATCATGGCGAAGCGAGGAAAGTCTGCAGAGATTGTCCTGCTCTTCTTGTGACGTGCGTTAACATGTTTAACCCTTGAATAACCCATCAGTTTTAAAACACATGTTTCTAAACTTTTTATGAACGAAATTATTTGTGGGTCCATGACTTCGTTTGTTACAGGGTTCGTAGTAGTATATGAGTCATACAAAAAAAAATAAAGTGCCGTCAATATTTCATTTAATCTCTCTTAATCATTGCTGGGGTCTCCTATATATTTTTACATAGAAAATGAGTGATTTTTCTCACTTGTTTTAATGAGTTCATTACACTTTTTTAACAGGCAAAAATATAAAATTACACAATGTGATGAAATATGTTTTCCTTGCCGGTGGTGAATGTTACAAAAACATGTCCGTAATTTTGAGGATTAAATAGAGAAGAAATATCACAAGCTCTTTTTAATCTCTTTTAAAGTAGTCTATTTGTTAATTTTGTTAAGTACAAAGCTACACAATGGGTTATCTGTTCTCTACGAGCCGCAGGTATCGCAGCCTAATTTTTAGCGTTATAAGACACCAGTCTTACTACTGAGTTACCGGGGGAGGTGGAGCTCTTTTTTTAAAAACCAAAATTATGTTCTGCTGTTTACAAAATTAACTGTATATCAGATATTTAGACAACATTTCATAATTAGATTAACATAAACAGTCATTCTTTATTAAATCAGTATATTTTATTAATAACTTTCCAACATGCAATACTCAATGTTGGCATAATACATCGTATTCTTCTATGTGCGTTAGTACAAGGCTCTTACTAGGATCATATAACTCTGCTACAATCACTAGTTCTTGTATATCAGAATATGTATATGATTCGCTACAATACATTTATAAAACTTAAAACAGCTGTATCATTAATCGCGTTACACATATAAAACAAACAAGTAAAACTATGTTAAAAGCTATAGATTAGGAACGATAGAATTTTTATCCTGTGCAATAGGGATTCATCGCCCATCCGATTTAACTCCTTTTAGCTTGCCTTATGTGTCATAAAAAATTAGAAGATATGTCCTTCTGAAGTCCGGATCCAAAACTATCACCCACTATCTGTAGCCAGTTGTGAGGGCTAATCTTACTGAGTAGTCAGGGATTAATTGGACGAGTAAGCATACAGTATTCTCAACAGTCCGTAATGAACCAAGTACTGAGTATTCCTTGACAAAGTACGATTTGCTGACTATAAGCCAATTGAGGTCATAATACAATGAAAACAGTAAACATTGTTATTGTCAGAAGAAAAAGATGACTGCTGTTGTCATCCGAGGAGATTTGATCAAATAAAAGAAGGGTGCAATTTACCAATTGTTTTATGAATATAATAGACAGTTTGAAAGTTCTTTGTTAATTCATATCACCGATAAGAAAACATAGTTTTTCACTGTATATATCTTCATTGTTGGCACAATTAAAACAGAATTCAAGAGGCTAACTTGTCTGGCTTATATCCCAAGAACAAAGAACTTTCTCAAATACAATTTCTGTTCTCTGCTGTTAAGATCATTTTTTTAAACAGAGCGTCACACACTTCCTTAATCGAATTGGTGTATAAGATATACCAGTCAGGCTCAGGATATCTTAGCAGCCATGCCAATATTTTATTCGAGATCATCCAGTGGTGTTCTGTTTTTTCAACATACTATATATAATGTGTTTCTATGTGAATAGATGGATGAAATGTCTCAGACACCTATACGACCAATACTGTTTCCAATAAACATTACTCTTTGAAGGCCTACTTTCTTTGTGGTATCTTAACTTTAGCTAATTTCTGACCTTTATTGGTCCTAGATAGTAATGCATGAGCAGGACTCAACCTTTACAGATCCTAGGTAGTAGTGCATGAACTGGACTCAAGGGCAAATTAGGTGAGTATTTGAGCGTAATATAGTGTACAAACATAGGTTATTGGAAATAATTATAGAAATGCACAGATGAGCGTCAAATAGTGTTGAGACATAGGGTATTGGAAGTAATTATAGAAATGCACAAACAAGAGTTACAAACAAAGAGTAATTATAATTAAATGGTCAATTTAGCATTAGTACAATACTTTATTACAGAAAATAGAATATAAATGGAAATAAATTGTACAATAACGCGTTACACTGTTTGTTTCACTCAATGAATTCAATTTATTAAATGTGATATTTTTTTTCATGTTCATATTTATTTTATTTTTTAAAAGTTTTTATTCCATGGATATTGTTTATATTATACTTGAAATTTTAAAGCTTTTCCTTTACTTTCTTTGCTTAAATAACTTCGTTCTCCATTTCTAAATTTTTCTTGTCTTCTTACACATACCATCGAGTATGGGGTAAAGTTGAGTTTGGCGGGACCTCACTCCTGTTTTTTTTACACATCTGTAACAGTTATCACAGTTTATGAAATCAGTAGCCAAATTATCACAACGACAAATAATTGCACTTATAATAATTACTGCCTCACCTAACTAGCTTGTTTTTTTAACATTTAATATTTCCTTTTTTTTTTCTTCTTTGCTCCATAAATTAAAGTGATCAATTTTTTCAACATAAACTTGCATAAAATCTTGTACTTTTACTACTGTATGCTGGTATCTATTACCTTTATTACTCACCAGATTAAACACTGACTTCAATACTGTATGCTACCTATGTTGTTCACCAGGTTCAACCCTGGTTTTACTACTGTATGTTGATATCTGTTAACTATGTTACTCACCAAGTTAAACACTTATTTTACTACTGTGTTTATATCTATTAACTATGTTACTCACCAAGTTAAACACTGATTTTACTACTGTATGTTTGTATCTATTAACTATATTACTCACCAAGTTAAACACTGGTTTTACTACTGTGTGATGATATCTATTAACTATATTACTCACCAAGTTAAACACTGATTTTACTACTGTATGTTTGTATCTATTAACTATATTACTCACCAAGTTAAACACTGGTTTTACTACTGTGTGATGATATCTATTAACTATATTACTCACAAGATAAACACTTATTTTACTACTGTGTTTATATCTATTAACTATGTTACTCACCAAGTTAAACACTGATTTTACTACTGTATGTTTGTATCTATTAACTATATTACTCACCAAGTTAAACACTGGTTTTACTACTGTATGTTGATATCTATCAACTATATTACTCACCAAGTTAAACACTGATTTTACTACTGTGTTTATATCTATTAACTATGTTACTCACCAAGTTAAACACTGATTTTACTACTGTATGTTTGTATCTATTAACTATATTACTCACCAAGTTAAACACTGGTTTTACTACTGTATGATGATATCTATTAACTATATTACTCACAAGATAAACACTGATTTTACTACTGCATGTTTATATCTATTAACAATATTTTTCACCAAGTTAAACACTGATTTTACTATTGTATGATTATGTCTATTAACTATATTACTCACCAAG